CACAGATTTGAACTGCCTGGGTCCACTAATGTACAGATTTTTTTCAATAAATACAGTTGGCTCTCTGTATCCCTGAGTTTCACATCCATGGATTCAACCAACCATTGACTGTATGCCTTGCTATGCTATTTTTACATAAGGGACTTGAGCACACAAGAATTTTGGTATCATTCCCTTGCAGATATCAGGGGACAACTGTACTAAGTTTTGGGGGAGTCAGAAGTTAGTTACACATGGAATTTATAACTGTGTGGGGATTGGCACCTCTAACCTCCACATTGTTCAAGGGTCAGTGTAATTCTAAAGAAAAGTAGTAGGAAGAAAATAAGATAAGAACAAAAATAATGGAATTAAAAAGATAATCATCTAGTAAGATTGACCGAGAAAAAAAACATACATTAGCAACCAAAAAAGGAAGGAGTAATAATTTTTCAATAAAAAAAAATATAAAAACTTTATACCAATTTATTTGAAAAGGTGAAATAATTTTCTAGAAAAATATAAATTACCAAAAATGCCTTAAGAAGAAAGACCTGAATAAAAAACAATTACTAGCTAAGAAATTGAAATGGTAGTTTAATAAACGCATTTCCTTCCACAACTTCTCCCTACTTCAAAGATACTATGATAGAGAGTTTTTATAGGAGGCTATAACAACCCTTTCAAAGAGCAGATGGCCCCTATTTATTGCAAAAACTGTTTCAGAGAAGGAGGCAACTCACTTCATGAAGTTATTATAGCCTGGATGCCCAAAGTGAATAAGGATAGTACAGAAAAAAAAAAAAATTATCACAGTCTGCCTCATTCATGAGTATACAGTAGCTCCTTCGACCCTGCCCTTATTCATAGTTTCGATTTCTGTGGTACCAGTTACCTGCAGTCAGCTGCAGTCTGAAAATATTAAATAGAAAATTTCAGAAATAAACTATTCAGATTGACTGTCTCCATATCTCAGTGCGTGTGTTCAAGTAACTTTTTTTATTTAATGGCCCCAAAGTACAAGAGTAGTGATGCTGGCAGTTAGGATATGCCAAAGAGAAGTCGTAAAGGGATTCCCCTAAGTGAAAAGTTATGTGTATACAGGAAATACCATGCTTCCTTTAAGTGAAAGCTGAGTAACTGTTACAATTGTTCTATTTTATTAGTAGTTATTGTCATTAATCTCTTACTGTCCCTAATTTATAAATTGAACTTTACCACAGGTATGTATGTATAGGAAAAAACATAATATATAGAACATATCCCTGTAGATAAAGGGGGATTACTGTAAATGCAAAAATCTTAAATAAAACATAAGAACTGGAAAGCAAGAGACAAAGCTGTTCTTATTTGCAGACAACAGGCTTTCTACAAAGAATATCGAAGGGAATCCATACACAATTAGAACTAATAAGAGCTTAGCAAGGTTGCTCAATATAGGATCAATATATAAAAATCAATCAATGGCATTCTTGTACAACAGCAATAACCAACTTAAAAATGTAATAGAGAAAAGACCTCATTTGCAATTGCAACAAAAACTTAAGGTATATAGGAATAAATGAGTGAATATATAAAAAAGATATTAAAACTCGGTATTATAAAAATGGCAATTTTCCTGAGATTCATTTAAAATCAAAAACAAGTTCAATCAAAATCTCAATAGTTTTTTCATGGATAAATTGATTCTAAAATTCATATAGAAAAGTGCCAACAATGGTTAAAATAATTTTGAAGAATAAGTATGGGAAATGTAGAAATAACACAAAGTTATACAAATAGACCAAATGGAACAAAAGAGAGAGCCTAAAAATGGAACTTATACATGACAGGTTGTGCCACAATTCAGAAGGGCTTATTTGATAAATGGTGCAGGAAGCGTACTGCTTATTAATATGGAAAAAATATAATTATGTTACTCATAGACAAAAATAAATTTCAAGGATTAGAGATATGAATCAAAAAAATAAAAATTTAAAAACTGATAGAAAAAATATGGCAGACCACTTTTATGGCTTTAGAGGTAGGGAAGGTTTTCTTGAAACACAAAAGGCAAAGAAAACACAAAGTTAAAAGACAAGCTACAGAGCAGAGTAAGACATTTGCAATACAAATAACTGACAAAGAATTAAAACCAAGAACATTTAAACTACAACAACAACAAAAGGCAAATAATCTAACAGAGCAATGGAAAAAGGTAATAAATAGGCAAATCACAGGTGAGAAACCCCAAATGGCCAATAAACATATGAAAACATGTTCGACCTTATCAAACTCATACTCTACTGAGTATAAATTAAAATAAGCATGAGCTGAAGACATCATATCCCACAATTAAACAGTTTTATAGATATATAAATATTTATCCACAGTATAAAAATATTGGGAAGAATGATAAATATCACATTTATGAGCAGGGCTACCTCTGGGGAAGGAGAAGGAAAGGGAATGGGACTATGGAAGGGAACTGAGGGGTTCATCTACTGTGTCTTTAATTATAGATAAGATATATACAACATAATGTTAAGATTTCAAGATAGTCAGGCTGTGAGCACATGGGAGTCAGTTATTTTCTATACTTCCAAATATTTAAAATATTAATATAAACTTCCTTAAATGGAAACATTTAAAGAATGAATGAGAGCTAAAGTATTAACATAAATGGATCTCAAAAACTAAATGTTAAGTTAAAAAATCAAGTTATAGAAACATGTATAGTATAACATTTATATATTATGTGAACCAAATTTTTTTTTATATACATTGGTAATTGTATAGACTTTCATGGGAATGATACTCCAAATTTAGAATGATGGTTAGCTATGGGTAGGGAATAAGAAGAACAGGAGTGGGGAAGGGTATACAAGAAGTCAGTCAAATCTGTAATATGATTTCTTTGAAAAGTCTGAAGCCAATATGGTGTTTGCTAAAGCTTGATATTGAATGGTTTTAAAAACCTGTATTTATATATACATATATGTGTGTGTATGTGTGTAAGTAATATCAGCAGCAATAACAAATGAAGAAAATGAATAACATAGCTAACATTTGAGTACTTACATAGTAGGCACTCTTCTAAGTGTCTGCATGTATGCTCCTAAAAACAACCCTAGGAGGTAGATTCTATTACTATTTATATTTAATACTATTACTATTTTATTACTATTAGATTCTATTCTTTGTTTTTACAGATGAGGAACTGAAGCAGAGAGGGGTGACGTTGGTCTAAGGTTATAAATCTAGTAAGTTATGAAAGAAGCCAGGATTCTTGCTCCAGAGTTTGCAACTTAATAATATGTTATTGTTATTATATCATTCTCTATTCTTTTCAGTATATTAGAAATAAAAAACACTTTTAACCTATGAATATAAAGGAATGCACGTGTACACACACGTTTTCTGTGTAGCTTAAACTGGTTCTAAAGATGCTAAAAAAATTCTAGGAATGTCTTGAAAATAGCAGCATCCCAATTACTCTAATTTACTAATTTACATGTTTGAGGTTTGGTATTTTTTAGAACATTATTTCACAGTCAAACATAATTTCTTCAATAGCCTTAATATATATTTGTAATCCTAGATAACTTATATGGGGAAGCATATGATGTAATTCGACCATCTCCTTCTTTCTCATTAGAGGCAAAATTCAATCCTTAGATTCAGGTCTGAAAATTCATATTGAGTTTTTAATAAATAATTCTGTTAAGAAATTTAATAGTTTCAAGTATTCACTTTTTCTGGTCTCTTAATTATGAATTGGTATATTTTTTTAAACCCAGCAGCTAATACTTATACAATAAAACTAATAAAAATGTAATTTTGTATAGGACTATTTATACCATAAAATAAAAGGGGTACTAGCATTCTTAGTCATCAAATATTTGAGCTTTGACTATGTGCTAATTACACACTCCTTGTCTCTAGTACCACTGTTACCATTTTTTAAATGTCTCTTCTTCTCAATTTGTTCACTCACATTTTCAATGCTATCTATTAACCTAAAGAATATGCATTCAAAAATATGAAAATATCAAAAAGAAATTCTTGCTTTCAAAGAGCTTACCGTCTAGTAAGAGAAATAGACAAGTAAAAGTTATCTATAATACACAAATAGTTTAACAAAGATATTTATAAGGTATTAGAGAAACATAAGGGTTGGGGTAGATGAAAGGATGGCTGCTGTACTTCGAGAATGGGAAACCTGGAACATGATGAATAGGAGACCACTCTTTCAAGAAAACCTGTCTTTAAAAGGAAGAGAGGATAATAGCTAGTGGCATAAGTTCCAGAGAAGGTTTTAAGATGAGAGTTAAAGACTTAGCATCAACTCCTCTGAACTACTTTCATTGTTTCACTCCTCTTACAGGACTAAATCCCAACCGAGTATGAGAGCAAGTTACCATACATTCCTAAGCCTCGAATGAGACAGATATTTAACACTAAATTATAGAAGGAACCTAAATAAGTGATCTCTAAAGTTCTTTCTACACGTAAACTCTCTGATTCTACAACTATTCTATGATTATCTGATCTCTTTAAACTCAAAGGTAAATCACAAAACATTCAGTATGCAGAAGAAAAACAAAGACCAATTAAGAAATGAAACAGTTTGTACAACTGCATTCTATTATTTTTGCAAAACTGTTACAATTAATTTCTATTTGAACATCAGTAAAATTTCCACAAAAAGACAGTGCCTTTTTATCCGAGTTGTTAAAGTGCTTCTTCCCCACAAATCTGCAGATTTCTAAGAATCAACGAGCAACTGTTTTGCGGTAACAGTAGTTGCTTAACAGCCCATAGCTTAGACTTGTAAAAGCCATTTTTAAAAGAAAGATATTTACATAACGTGTATAACATTTTTACAATATATTTGTTCATTATCTTTACTTAAACTTTTAATGTACAAGTAGAAGGTTCATGAAGTTTTTTAAAAAACCCAGCTAAGATAAGCTCTTTATAGTAGTATGCCTTCTTTTCACTATTACACATTCTGAAATTTAGAACAAGGTTTCCCTTACCTGATATGGACATGGAATGTGATATTCTCTGCAGCGTTCTTGTATCCATGTTGTTTCCCAGATGCCACGGTAAGCTTGTTCATAAAAGTAGCATCCAATTACTACCAAGAGTGGTACGAGATAAAGAATGCTGAAAACACCAATCCGGATCATAAACTTCACCAATTTATCTTGGTTCTCCTTTTCTAATGGAATCTCAATTCGAACTCTGTTTAGGGATATAATGCCGGCTAAGAGGAGTGAAACCCCAACTACCACATACAGGCAGAGGGGTGCAAGAACAAAATATCTTAATGCATCAACATCGTAGAGGCCAACAAAACACACGCCACTAATATTGTCACCTTCAATTTTATTCATCGCTAAAAGGATGATAGTTAGAGTTCCAGGGATGCCCCATGCACTGGCATGAAACAGCAATGCTTTCTTCTCAATAGCTTCACTACCCCACTTTGGCACAGCTGCCAAGAACCATGTGATGGTAAGAATTACCCACCAAACGCTGCCAGCCATAGTAAAAAAATAGAGTACCATAAAAAGCATGGTACAGGCTTTATTATGAGATCCTTGTGTCACTGTGGAAGCCTTATACTGTGCTGAGTTAGATGCATTGCAGGCTACTCGGTCCTCAAGCAAAAACCCAATGAAGAAAATTAATGATACCATCATGTAGCAGACTGCATAAAATATAATAGGTCTTTCAGGATAACGGAATCTTGTGACATCAATCAAAAAAGTTAAAAAAGTAAACAACGTGGCAGAGAGGCAAATGATTGAAATCAATCCTATGAAATAGCGAGCAAATGAAAGTTCTTCTCTCCTAAAGTACATGTTTGGACAAGGAGGTGAACAATCACGCACGTGCAAAAAGGAATAACCAAGATCAGGATCAATTTTCAACTCTCGGGGACACCAAAAACCATAGTCCCTCTGCACTGCCACTGGGGCTCCTTCAGTAGGATCTCCAGCTAAATTCAGATCCACAAGTCGAGGGTATGGCTCATCACAATCTGGGAACCTAGAAAATACAAGATGAGAACCATTTTACTAATTGGGAAATCTACTGCCACCTAGTAATTTCCAAATTTAGCACTTATGGCCTTATTATTTATTCTTATGTCCTAAGAGCACATTACAATAAGTAGGAATAAAGTGATATCTTCTGTATGGGCCATACAACTAGATTTTCCATAGTTGACCAAAAATGGTATGGTTTTATACTTAATCTTGTTTTGGTTTTAGAAACAGTACTCTTTCCTAAAATAGGCAAGCACAGTTATCAATAAAAGTATATATATAAATGATTTATTTAGGACACACAGTTTAAAGTAAGATTTAAAAATACAAACATATATAAGTAAAAAATATATAAATAAATATATGTAAGTGTATAGCTCCAAAAGAATAGAAGCCAAAGTTATTTTTTCCTAACCTTTAACTACAGTATATTCCTCAATTTACTCTAGACTCAAATAGAAATTACTTAAACATGAGTTAAAAATCTTCGCTAAATGCATGGCCCAAAGTGTTTTAAGTTAGCTTAGCATTAAATATCCTTATAAATGGCTTAGTTTTTTTATTTTTCCTTCCCATTTTACAGCTTATTTTGCTTATTATATTGATTAATGAAAGGCCTTCTAAGATCTCTACTGTCAACTAGTTCTTTCCTACCATCTAGAATTTCTCTCCAATCCATTATATTCTAATTAAGTTATTCTCGGACTTTAGTGTGCATGAAAAAACTTTAAGTTCTTTTAAAATGCAAATTCTTGGTTCCCATCACCCAAATCATTTTTCAGTGTGCCTGTGTTAGGACCTAAGAAATCTACATTCTAACAGTTCTCCAAAGGGACATGATCTACAGACTTGAGAAAGCGTCATAACCTCAGAACATAGAAAACAAGGTTGTGTTGCAGATATACTTACCCAACTAAGGATACCATTCTCATGAACTTCCTGCATCTTCAATTTTATTGCCAGTAGCAGTTTCTAAGCCTTCAGACTCTCACTAACTAGATGTTTACTAGTTTATGTGCATCAAATAGTTTCCAAGAAACTATCACTGATATTGTTTGCCAAATACATGTATAATAACCTCATGCTGTAGCACACTGTTTTATTTTCTAATACAAACCATTTTCTTCACAGAACTTAGAATTATAAAGCCAAAAGATATAAACTTATTGTGTTTAGGCATTTATTGGAATCCTGGAGTATGCTAGGGTTTAACATAAACAGACAAAAAAAACAAAACAAAACAGGATCTCTATCCTTAACTCTAAAAGGAGGCACAAACTTATAAACACAACACAAAATACAGTAGTGTGATACATGAAGCTATCAAAATCTGTATAAAGTAAAAAAATGATATAGAGAAAGATTATTTCAGGGGAAGAGGTTATGAAAGACTTTACAGAGTAAGTTCCTCAATACAGGATTTTAAAGCAGTATTTGCCAGTATTGGAAATATGCCAGTCAGTATTCTAGAAAGAAATGTAAGCAAAGGCATAGTGGTTTAAACAGGGAATGTTTAGTACTGGAGCATGAGGTGTGCATGACTTGACAAGAGAGAAGTTTGGAGAGGTAAGTCTGTTGCAGAAATATATGTGTATGTGTGTCTGTGTGTGTGCATGTGTGTACGAATATATAAATGATATAATGTTTAAAACCATGCAAAGTAATACTATATATTTTTACGGATATATTTGTATATCCAACTGCCAATTCAACATATACATACCCCTCAAGCTTTAAGCCTTCTAAAACCAAACTCTTGATTTCCACTCCTTGTATTTCTCCAATTCCACAAGTGGTAATTCTATTCTTCTAGTTGCTCAGGCCAGAAACCTTGGGGTCATCTTTGAAGTTTCTTCTCTTACATATACCTCACAACCTACTGGCAAATCCTGTCATTCTATTTGGGGACATATCCAAAATCTGACCACTTCTCATCTCCTCCACTTTGCTGCCCCACAGTTTGAGCCATCAGCACATCTTCTCTGGACTCCGGGAGTGGCTTACAATCAATCTCCCTCCACAGAGTAGCCACTCCTGTGTTCATGACCATTTCTCTTCTGTTCAAAATTCTCTAATGACTTCCCCTCTCAGTCAGAATCAAATCTGAATTCCATACCAGAGCTACCACCCCCTAATACTTTTCTGATCTTATTTCTTCGCATTCTCCATCATTCACTAAATAAAAAGACCACTAAACAATGAGAGTTAGATACAAGAAACACAAAATAAGGTTTTGGACCAGGTGATTCATACCTGTTGTTATAAACACCAAGAAATTTAGACTTCCAAAAGAGGGACTATAAGTACTATCAGATGTTTGAGTAGAGAGTGGGTTAGTTGGGGCTAAATAAGAGAACAGGTTAAATAGGTGGGAAATAGAGTAGACAAATATGAGAAAGCAAAATGTTAGTAAATTGACCATAAAAACTAATGTTTTATTTCTTAAATTTTTGCATCTTTCAAATGAGCATAACACCTGCTTTTTACCTACCTCAAAGGACTATTGTTAAAATAAAATTAATATTAAACATGAAGGAGAAAAGAATGTTCAGTACAGCATTGTTTATAATAGCAAAAACCTGGAAATAACCCTAATCCAAATGACCATCACTAGAAGATGGCTAAATAACTATAGGGTATTAATGCAACTGGTCATTATATAGCAATTAAAGGAATGACCCAGAATGATACGGATATAAACATAGGCACATGTAAAAAAAAAATGTAATGTTGTTTATAGATATGTATATATGCAGTAAGAGTATAAAAACAAGCATAGGAATGATTAACAATGAATTCAACATAATGATTAACTCATCTCTGGGGACAAAAGAAAGGAATAAAATCAGGACAGGTGTCAGGGAAGGAACTTTCAATTCTATCTGTATAGTTGTTTCCTTGTTTCCTTCCTTCCTTCCTTGTTTCCTTCCTTCCTTCCTTCCTTCCTTCCTTCCTTTCTTCCTTCTTCCTCCCTTCCTCCCTCTCTCCCTCTTTCTTTCCTTCCTTCCTTCCTTCCTTCCTTCCTTTCTTCCCTGCCTGCCTGCCTTCATCTCTTCTCTTTTCATCTTCCTTTTTTTTTTTCCATAAATATTTCTCTCTTTCCTCCTTGTGAAACTTACTTCAATTTAGTCGATGACACTCCATGCTGTCATATACCCAACCTGGTCTTTATGTCAGATTGTTTGCATGTAGGTTGGTAGTGGTGGTGGGGGGTGGTGTGGGGCTGGTAGGAGGGGCTAACCAACCTAGTGGATGTGAAGTGGTATCTCATTGTGATTTTGAGTTACATTTCTCTGATGGCTAATGTTGAGCATCTTTTCAAGTGCTTATTGGCCATTTGTGTTTCTTTGGAGAAATGTCTATGCAGATCTTAGCCCGTTTTTATTTTATTTCTTTATTTATTTTAGCCTACAGCACCCAGTATTCTCAGGTGGAATCCCATCCAAGTACTAACCAGGCCCGACCCTGCTTAGCTTCCGAGATCAGATGAGATTGGGCATGTTCAGGGTGGCATGGCCATAGACTATAGTTTTCTTTCTTAAAAAGAAAAAATTCTAGAACAAATATTACAAAATGTTAAAGACTGGGAAAAGCTAGATAATAACAGGTACATACATATTCATCTTATTATTCTTTAACCTTGAAATACTTCAGGATACAAAAAGGCATAATGTTATTATATAAAAAATAACAAACATTACTACTGTAAACCTTACTACTACTAATAATAATGTTCTCTGGTACAAATCTCTAAGACTGTCTAGTAAACATCCTCAAATCTTCAGGAAATGCTTATAATCTATATATTGAAAATGATTAGAAAAGCATCTGACATTTTCTGGGTCTGGTATATTAATACATGATAGAAAAACGTAACTGAAAGAAGTACTTTAGTCATTAACACGTTTAAATCATAAAGATATAAGTCCCATTAAATTATCATTAAAGATATTTAATGATGAGGCAACAAATGATTATTTTCTTCTCTGTATTTTCTAATTTTCATAAATGGCATTACTTTTATAACCAGAAAAAAAATTCAAGGGAGAAAAATCAACTGAATATCTTATGTTTTTCTTAATTTAATTCTTTTAAAAATTTCTTCAGAGAAACATTTTTCTTTTTCTACCTTTTTAAATTAAAGCTTCCAAATTCCTAAGGAAATGAGTAATTCTGAGGCCATGAAACTGCTGTTCAAAATTAAGACTAATATACATACTTAAAAAAAAAGTTTTTAAAAAGTGATGAACTAGAAGACAAGTAATTTTAAATATATTGCAACATAAGTAATGATCCATGAAAATACGACTTTCGCACCTACTGCATTCCATATCTTCGGGCCAAGGAACACCAAACATCTCCATGAGCTTTGAACATTCGCTGTAAGCCCGCTGACACAGCCTACGACAGGGAAGTGTGACACGTCCATACTCCATACAAATAGGAGCATAGAGTGCACAAAGAAATGGCCGGAAATCCTGAGAACAATCCAGATTCACCATAGGGTGGAATGGCTAGGAAAAAGTTAAAATTGAATCATTAGTGAAAGTGTTGTATACAAATTAAAGTTTTCTATAGACAATATTGCAATATTCATTTTTTTCATTTAAAAAAAAATCTGAAGATTACTAAAGATTTCTGAAGGAGTTTTTGTTTTTTTAAAACCCTGTTAGCCCTATCCCTGGAGATTCCGATTTAGTTAAGTCTGAGGTGTATCCCAGAATGTATGTGTATATTTTAATTGTGACAGGTGATATTATTGAAGAGACAGGACTGAGAAACACTAATAACAATATGATCCATTTTACAAAGAAAAGAAACACGATATATGCCAAATGCTTAAAAGAGTGATTACTGATTGGCGATGGGAGTGCAAGAGATTTTAATTTTCTTCCTTTTATGTATTTCAATTTTTCTTCAATTTACATGAATCAACAGTAGAGAAAGGACAAAAAATGAAAGCAAAGGAAAGGAGAGGGGAGATAAGTAGTTATAGTAGTAGTTATTTTTCAGTGTGGGATTTAAGGAAGAAATCTCTCATCTTTGTCTCACATTTCCTTGTTCTTTTTACGTTAATTTTTTTTAAACAGAGTTCTTTAAACACTGAAATCACATGATGTAAACAGAGCTAGCTGTAAGCTGATATTAAGAAAACAAAAAGAAAAAGTAGTGTCTCTAAACATAAAATCATACTAAAATCATCATTATAACCACAGGAATAGATCAAATATCCCAAAGAAAATGCATCTAGGCTTTTGACTACCAAATAATTTTCCACTTGTTTATATAATAGTTTCAGAATCATTGTTGATTTTGAACTGACTACAAAGGTTCTCACCACCAGTCCTTTCTACTGATTAAGAACCAATTTATTTCTACACCAATATATATTTTCCAGAGATCTCCTATACATAATGTAGCCAGAAAACCCAGGATCACAGAAACTGATGTCAAAGAAGTTAACTGTATAATAGATGTGAAAACCGATATATAAAAATGAACTATTTGTGACAATAAACTATATGTAACTATCGTGTCCAAGTATAAAGGAGTAGTTTCTGCTAAACCAATGTTTCCATGAAGAAAAACGTTAAAATATAAGGGAAAAGTTTAACTATATCGTTTTAAAGCTATTTGAGAACTGTTGAAGGAAAAGAGCTAAAGAGACCAAGAATCCAGAGACCAAGGAAGCATGGTGAGGTGGCCTGGTTATTGCAGCCACATTTCCAAGGAGGCATTTGGTGAATCTGGGCAAAAGGCAAGAGGTTGAGAATCAAGTTTTGCTGATGCTAGAAAAACAAGAAACCATCAGAGCTTTGGTCTTATGAGGCTACAGACAAAATTCACATGCAAAAGAGTAGAGTTGGATCATTGCCTTATACCACATACAAAAATTAACTCAAAATGCATCAAAGGCCTAAATATAAGAGCAAAATCTATGAAACTTGTAAAAGAATACATAGGGATAAAATAAATCTTCATGACCTTAGGTTTTGGCAATGGTTTCTCAGATATGATACCAAAGCACAAGCACAAAAGAAAAATGGATAATTTGGACTTCATCAAAATCAAAAGCTTTTGTGTATTAGAAGACACTCTCAGGAGAGTGACAACCCTCAGAATGAAAGAAAATATTTGAAAATCAGGTATCTGATAAGGGTCTAATATCCAGAACACATAAAGAATTCCTACAATTCAACAAAAAGACAAATGATCCAATTTTTAAATGGGCAAAATACTTGGACATTCTCCAAAGAAGTTATGCAATGACCAATAAGCACATTAAAAGATGCTCATTAGTCATCAGACATTAGGGAAACGCAAATTAAAACCATAATGAGATACCACATCACACCCACTATGATAATCTAAAAAACAAAAAATAACGAATGTTGATAAGAATGTGGAGAAATCGGAACCCTTACAAAATGAGGCGACCACTATGGAACAGTTTGGTGATTCCTCAAGAAGTTAAACAGAATTACCATATGGTCCAGCAATTCCACTCTTAGGAACATACTCAAAAGAATTAAAAATGGTGTTCAAGCAAAAATGTGTATATGAATGTTCATAGCAGAACAGCATTATTCATAATAGCCAAAGGAAAATAAAAAGCAAGCAAATGGGAAGAAAATAATAAAGAAGAAAACTCAGTAAAGTTGAAAACAGAAAAGCAATAAAGAAAAAAAAAATCACTCAAACCAAGAGCTGGTTCTTTGAAAATATCAATAAAATGGATAAACTTCTAGCAAGACTGATAAATAAAAAAGATAAACATAAGTTACCAATATCAAGAATGAAAGATGTCAATAGAGTCTCCAGACATTAAAAAGATAAGTATATAAGATATGTACATAAATTAGACAATTTAGATGAAGTGGACCAATTCCTCAAAAGCCACAAACTACCAAAACTCACCCAAGATGAAGCTGATAATCTGAATAGTCCTATAACTATCAAAGAAATTGACTGTGTAATTTAAAACCTCCTGAAAAAGAAATATCTAGGTCAGATGGTTTCATTGGTAAAATCTAACCAACATTTAAAGAATACAAATTCTATACAATCTCTTCCAGAAAATAGGAGAGAACTAATCTCAACTAATTCTACAAAGCAAGGATTACTATCAAAGCCAAACAAAAATAGTACAAAAAGAGAAAACTATAAACCAATATCCCTCCTGAACATCAGGGCAAAAATCCTTAACAAAATAGTAGCAAATCAAATTCAAAAATATATTAAAAGCATTATATGCCATAACCTAGTAGGGTTTGTTCCAGGAAGTCAAGGCAGACTTAATATTCAAAAATCAATCACTATAATCCACCAAATTAACAAGCTAACAAAGAAAACTCATATGATGATACCAAATGATACAGAAATAGCATTCATGATTTTTAAAGTTTTCAGCAAACTAGAAATAGAGGGTAACTTTCTCAACTTGATAAAGAACATCTACAAAAACCCTACAGTTAACATTATATGTAATGGTGAAACACTAGATTCTTACCTCTAAGATTGGAAACAAGAGACAGATGCCTGTTTACCATTCCCTTCAATATAGTACTGAAGCCCTACTAGCATAATAAAGTAAGAAAAGGAAAATAAAAGATGTATAAATGGGAAAAAGAAAACTGTCCTTATCTGCAGATGATATTACTGTCTACATAGAACATCCCAAGAAATCTAAAAAAAACAAAACAAAAAACCACCTCCTAGAACTAACAAGTGAGTTCAGCAAGGTTGCAGGATATAACAAAAAACATATGAAAAAATTGTATTTCTATATACAATGAGCAATGATAACTAAATTAAAATCACTAAAAAAAGACAAATATGGTATAAATCCAACAAAACACATACAGGACGCTGATGAAAGAAATCAAAGAAGATATAAATAAATGAACAGGTATATACTTGTATTAGTTTGCTAGGGTTGCCATACCAAAACACCACACACACTGAGTGGCTTAAACAACAGAATTCATTTTCTCACATTTCTGGAAGCTAGAAGTCCAAGATCAAGGTGTCAGCAGAGCCATGTTCCCTCTGAAGGTGCTAGGAAAGAATCTGTTCCTGGCCTCTTTCCTAGCTCCTAGTAGTTCCTTGGCTTGTGGCAGCACAAATTCAGCCTTCACATAGCATTCTCCTTGAGCCTCTTCACATCATCTACCCTCTATGTGTGTCTGTGTCCAAATTTCCCTTTCATAAGGACATCAGTGACATTGGATTAAGGGCCCCTCTCTACTCCAGTATGACCTCCTCTTAACTAATTACATTTAGAATGACCCTAAATCCAAATAAAGTCACATTCTGAAGTACTGGGGTTTAGGATTTCAACATATAAATTTTAGGGAGACTCAATTCAACCCACAACACTGTTCATGGATTGAAGATTCAACATGAAAAGATGTCAACTGAACACAACAAAGTACGTACATGTTGTATTATAAAGTTGTACACCTGAAATTTACATATTAACCAATGTTACCCCAATCAATTTTTTAAAAATGTCAATGTCCCCCAAATGATCTCTAGATTACGTTTAGTACATAAAGACAAGTTTATTCTAAAATTTAGATTTAAAGAAAGAAAGTAGAATAACTGAAACAACTTTTAAAAAGTGGAAAGAATCATGCTATACAATTTAAAAATTTACTACATAGCTAACAATAATTAAAACACTATGGTACTCATGGAGAGATAGACCCAAAGATCAACAGAACAGAATGGAGAATCCAGATAAATACACAAAAGCCAAATGATTTTTGACAAGAACAAAAGCAATTCAATAAATGGTGCTGAAGCTAGTGGATATCCATAAGCAAAAAAATAAACAATACCTCATACAAACTAACTGAGAATTGATCATGGATTTAAATATGACATAAAGCTATAAAACTTAAAAAAAAAAAGAAAAGAAAAAGAAACATAATCTTCCAGACCTAGGCTAGAGAATCCTTAAAAATTACACCAAAAGCACTAAACGTAAAATTTAAAAAATGGTAAATCAGACTTCATTAAAATTTAAAACTTCTGTTCTCCTAAAAAGACCTTGTTAAGAAATTGAAAAGACAAGCTACAGACGAAGATAAACTATTTGTAAACCATATATCCTCAAAGGATTTGTATCTAGAATATACTAAAAAAACTCTCAAAATTCAAAAGTCAAAAACAAATAATTCAACTGGAAAATGAACAAAAGATGTGAACAGACATTTCACCGGAAAGGACATGTAAATAGCAAATAAGCACATGAAAAGATGTTCAATATCATTAGCCATGAGAGAAACACAAATTAAACCCACGTAAGATATTACTACATCACATTAGAAAAGCTGAAATTAAAAAACAGTGAAAATACCAAATGGTGGTGAGAATGCAGAGAAAGTAGATCTCTCATACACTGCTGGTGGGAATGTAAAATGGCACAACCATTATGGAAAACAGTTGAGCTGCTTCTTAAAAATCCAAATATAAGCTTATCATATGATTTAGCAATCACACTCCTGGG